GCTTCCCAGAATTCTCCTCTCTCCTTGTCCCACCTACCTCCTGCCTGGTCATTGGCCATCAGTGTTTTATTTACATAGAGTGATATCCACAGCACCCAAAGCAGTAACAACAGATAGAAAGGAAAGAAAATTAGATATTCCTTCCATGCTTATTGAACCATGATCTGAAACAGGTTCAACACATATTGAAACTGTTACCAACACTGAAATCCATAAAATTCTTCAAATAAAAATATTTATTTTGGTATATAATTTTGTGACAAAATGAACCATGAACTTAAAATAACTAGAAACATTAATATTTATCACAGTGAACATAAACATTTATATATTATAAGTTTCATTTTGTGGTGACTCAAATCCCACTGCTGATACAACATAATAAATGATGTGTTTCCAGGAACCCTGGACAAAGAGTGGACAACGCTTTTCCCAGAAGACATGGGTTACTGAATGAAAATCTCAATTCTAAGCACAGGATACCTTCCTATGACTTTCTGGTCAGGGAATCTCAGAGGCCACCACAGCAACACAGACTCTTTTCATTGCTCTTAGATGCCTACCATAACTAGATGATCAAGACACAACACATTTTGGATACAGGACATAAAGAAATCAAACTGAAACTGATCTGAAAACTTTGTTCCTAGGGCTACCTTTTAGAGTATCAGAAGGTGCTCTACAGATCACTGAAGAAAAGACATCAATGGTCTTACCCCACATTGGACCCCAAATGCTCCACTATCAACCTGCCAGGCATGCTGTACACACTGATGCAATAGTGGCATGGAGGCAATAAGGGTAACCAACCACCTTCCTGATGAACCTGAGGCCTCCTCCACAGCAGGAAATTGATGTCACACTATAAAACTTTCCAAAAGCTCATTGCTCAGGACTGAGCTCCATGTGTTGCAGATAGTGGCTGTGACCCAATAGAAGCAGTTCCTTCCTGTGCCTTAGAACCCCAGGGGGAAGTACTCAAGTTCCTGTGAGATCACAGTAGACTTTTGTTAGAACATAATGGATGGAAAGAAGAAAACCTATGAGGGTGTGAAGGCCCTGACGACATGTATGTCAAAGTAATATCTTCTGACGGTCATGAATTGATTGTAAAAAGATAATATACGCTAACATCATGAACAATAAAGTTCATGTTGAGTGGACCAGGTCAGTTTGCTGAGAATAAAAGCAATGAAGTTAATTTTAGAGAGATCTCTTCAAACCTGTTACTGAAAGTATGCATATATTTTACCTACATGGTCTGTTATACTAAGCGCTCCACTGAGATGCCTGATTTCCACATTGCACCAGAAATTGCATTGCAACTGTTGATGGTTGCAAACTTCCTAGACTGTTAAATAAAAAAAAAAATTAAAGTTCTCCGGATGTTGGTGTCACACACCTTTAATCCCAGCACTCAGAGGCTGAGCCAGGTGGATCTCTGTGAATTTGAGGCCAGCCTGGTCTACAGAGTGAGATCCAGGACAGGCACCAAAGCTACACAGTGAAAGTTTATTGCTCAGGAAGTCATAGGCCCCAATGGATAATCTAGTAATATTATTTAACCAAACAGACAAGTTGCCAAAGTATCTTCTAAATATTTCTGTTAATTCCCATGTATTAGTTCATCCCTCAGTCTTGGCCAGAGAAGCCTCTTTCTGAAATGGGCAGAATACAGAGACTCATTACTCACCAAAGACCTAAGAATAAGTGTCAAATTAGTGCTCACCCTAAATAGAATATCCATATCAATTTCTCTAACTCAAGGCTCAGGAAACATCTTGGAAAATAAAGAGAAAAATACGACAGCCAAAAGATGAGAAGTTCTATGGTATCGCTAATACTATGAAAGAGGGAGACATCATGGGGATAGAGAGAAACCTGTTGCTAGGGAAGTTCCCAGGAATCCACAAGTATGACCCCAGCTTAGACTACTAGCAGTAATGGAGAGGGTGCCTGAACTGGCTTACCCCCAGAATCAGATCAGTGAAGACCATAACTGTCACCATAGAGCCTTCATCCAATAACTGATGGAAGCAGATGCAGAGATCCACAGCCAAACACCAGGCTGAGCTCCAAGAGTCCAGACAAAGAGAGAGAAGAGGGATTCTATGAGCAAGGGCATCAAGATCATGATGGGGAAACCTACAGAGACAACCAAACCAAACTAGTGGGAACTCATGAAATTCAGACCAACAGCTGTGGAGCCTGCATGGGAGTGGACTAGGCCCTCTGCATATCAAGACAGTTGTTTAGCTTGATCTGCTTAAGGGGCCCCCTGGCAGTAGGATCAGGATCCATCTCTGGTTCATGAACAGGCTTTTTGGAGCCCACTACCTATGATGGGACACTTTGCACAACCCGGAGGCAGGGGGAGGGGCTTGGACCTGCTTCTACTAAATATACCTCCCCATGGGAGGCCTTACCTTCTTGTAGGAGGGAATGAGGGGTGACTTGGGAGGGGGAGGCTGGAGGGGTGGGAGGAGGAAAGAGGGGGATCTTTAATTGGTATGCAAAATGAATTTGAAAAATTTCTTAATAAAAAAAAAGAAAGAAACACTATCTCTAGAAATAAGATGGACATTGTACTCAAGAACTCATTGTAGCTATAACTACCTGCATAAATCCTGTACAAGGTCAAGTAAAGAATATCAGTTGCTGGGCAACGATTGTGTATGCCTTTAATCCTAGCACTCAGGGAGGCAGAGGCAGGTGAATCTCTGTGAGAGAGGCAACAACACTAACTGCACAGGGTTAAAAGGGGGATGAGGGGAAGGAAACTTGAATACAGACATGAATAAAGGGATGTGTTAGGAAGATATCTAGGGAGTGCAGTGGTGAGTTCGGGATGAGTATGACCAAGATGCATTTCCACATGTAGGAATTATCAAAGAATAAATAAAAACTATTACAGATAAATGATGTGCATTAGCTTCTGATCATACAAAAATACAGGCAGCCTATGGGTCCCATATTAAAAAAATAAGTACTTACTTAAGGCAGGAGAAACAACCTAAGGCAGAGCTTTACATTTAAGAAATTATTTCCCATCATTCTCAAGTAAGTTGTTACCTAGAACACTTGAATGTATTATAATATAGAAACCATAACACTACCTATGTCACTGATTTGGGGATAATAAAGAGCTATAGACAAAATGCTCCAAGCAATGCTCAATACAAAGTTAAAGCCCAATATGTTAGAAATCAGTGCTCCTAAGTGTATTGTGAAGCCAGCCTGTGGTTCCATATACTCAAGAGGCTCACATGGGAAGGAAGACTGGAAGCTAACGGACAGCTTGGCAACTTAGAGAGACTCAATGTCAGAATAAAAGTAAAAAGAGGGCTGGAAGTGCAGGTCAGTTGTAGACCGCTTGCCCAGCGTGTTCAAGACCATCATTGCTTGGATGCAATACGGAGTACAAGTAAATTAAAACATATAAACCACAAAACAACTTTGACCATTTATTAAATGTGATTATTAATTTTATGTAACAATTTGTCTGAGAAAGGACCGCTCAAATAGCTGTTAAGCTCTGGTTGTATCTGTGAGGGAGCTAGAGTTTCTGGAAGAGGTCAACAAAAATGGTCAGACTAAACAAAGGCATGGCCTCATCAACATGAAGACAGTAGCATGCAGTCCATCCAAATTCCCATGAGAATAGGAGGACAGAAAGGCTGGAAGGGAGAATTCTCCCTCACTGAAGCTGAAACATCCAATTGGTCTCAGTTTCAGTGCAAACAATAATGCTATCCTGGTACTCTGAGCTTTGGGTTTTGATGGACACAACACCACAGACTTTCTTGGCCCTCTAGCTTACAGATGGCAGCTAGAAAGACAGGAAAGATTAAGGGACATGGAAAAGGAGAGAAGTGCCTCACTCATGGGTCTGGATGAAGACTCAAAGCAACTGGGAATCAAGAATTCCAGCACAGTTAATGCTATGTGCTCTGAAGGCTGTTAATGTGGAGATAATATTCATTTATATACAGATACTTAATATTAAAACAGCAATGAAACATGCTTCAGGCATACGTATACCCCCAAATATTGCCTTATCCTCTCCCAGATGTTATCTGGGAGTCTCATCAGTAAGTCTATTAACTTTTGTTGACAGTAAAAACATCTTAACTTCCATGCAATTCTTATGATCTTGGGTTTTACAGTACCAAATGCAATTCGTCCTTCAATCCTTTTGTCTGTATATCTCAGGAACCACCCAATGATCTCATTTAAGTTTCTTAGCAACTCTGGGAAGATGGAACTTCAAAACCCATTGACATCAAATACATGAAAAGCCCACACCCACACTGGGGTTGTGCGCCTTCCCTAAGTACTTTTCTACTAACCCATGACCTAAAAAACATCTTATCAACTCCAATTCTGCTTAATACTGACTTATTCTAAAATTCCTCTTGCAGCAAAGTCAAGAATGTAAACTTCACCTTAGAGGAGAATTCTTAAAGGAACACCTGGGGTGGTAGCAGGCAGTTCCATGGATCTGTCTCTGCCTATCTTCCCACCACTGCTGAGCTGAGTCTCTTCCTGTAATCTGTACCTGTGGGTATCAAAATGCTTTCCCTGGAAATGAGCTCTAAAGTTATGTTTTAAGTTTCAATTACTTTGTCTAAGCGACCCATCAAACAAAAATACCTCTAACCTCTAAGCCCCTTGCCCTAGAATAGAGAGTTCCTGAACTGCTGGAGGCTTTGCTTATATTTATATTTATATTAATTATATTTATATTAATTGCTTATGGAAGATAACAAACCACACATTTTCCCTCTCCTAAACAAGTTTGTGCACAGGCTGTGCTTGATCACATGGGAGGTACAGAGGTGGGAAACACATCAGGATGTACGCTTGCCCCTGGTTGGATGTAGGCTGGAAGTACAGAGGTGGGAAACACATCAGGATGTACTCTTGCCCCTGGTTGGATGTAGGCTGGAGGTACGCAGGCAGGAAGTATGCCAGGATATATGCTTTCCCCTGATGGGACCTGGAGGGAAATACATTTATTGGTTTGCATTTATAAGCCTTTGCAAAATGTGACTTGTCACCATTTTCTGGGAACCCCAGAATGGCCCTGGCCAGAGTCCATCATCCTGGCCAGTATTTAATTAAAGTTTGTTTCAAAATTTGCCTAAAATTGTGGTAGTGGTCTTATTGTCGACCAGTGGAAATAACAGATAACCCTACTTGATTTAGTTGGAAAAGGTAAGCCTGAGAATAGCTCTTAACAGACGTCTGCTAACCACATTATATTTAACAATCTCTGTGTATGTGTGTGGCAAGAGTGCGTGTGGCTGTGCAGGTGTATATGGGCCAGAGACTGGGTGTCGTGATCAGTTGCTCTCCACCTGACTTTTTGAGGCAGGATCTCGCACTAAACCTGAGCTCACCTAGGCTGGCTTTCCAGTGAGCTTCAAGGATGCTCCTGTCAGGCTCGCCAGCACTAGAATTATAGGTATACACTGCCATACACTGCTACATCTCACAACCTTAGAAATCCAAAACAAAACTCCAAAAATTTTCTTTCTCTTGTTTCTTTTTTTTTTGTTTGTTTGTTTTTTTTGTTTTTTTGAGACAGGGTTTCTCTGCGTAGCTTTGCGCCTTTCCTGGAGCTCACTTGGTAGCCCAGGCTGGCCTCGAACTCACAGAGATCCGCCTGGCTCTGCCTCCCTAGTGCTGGGATTAAAGGCGTGCACCACCAAAGCCCGGCCGCTTTTCTCTTGTTTCTAAAGGTACTTCAATTATCAGTGTTGGTATTTAGTACAGGTCATGAAGAAGGTAGTAATCTTGGGTGAAGAAATATACATTTGGAGTTGGAATACTATAGCAAGACTTCAAATGTGCAACGCAGCAAAAAATAGATTAGATAGATGTGACCTATAGGAGACTCTAAGGGGCAGCCTAGAAGAATGCCTCTTGAATTTGATTTATGACATAATTACCTGAGGTTCTTATGCAAATAGCTTCTGATTCAAAGGGGGTTGAAGACTGAAATCTCAGGGTGTGAGGAAATCCCATGACTGTTGGCTTGGCTACATGCAGAGTATGAAGGTCCCAGAGATGTAGACCTATGTAGGTCCAGTAACATCAGAATCTCCTCTGGAGTCTTAGAAATACAAGCTTTAAAGAATATGGAAACTCCTGAGTTTCCAACTAAATCAACTGCTTATACCTAGACACATCAGATCACTCTCAGAATAAAATAGAATACTTTGAAAATATGTTAGAAACTCTTACCTAAATAAGAAAACAATTAGCTTAAAATACTTCTTTTTTTCATATCTGCCAGCTATGATAATATGTGGGGGAAGTATCACAACATGGAGAATTGGCAGTTGAGACACTTAACTACATACTGCTCACATCACACCAGCACTCTACTTGAGCAATGCAGAATTTACTTGGAAATAAAATCAAACTGAGTTTTCTATTTCTTTGTGTTAAAGGTATAAACAACCACAATATGGCTTAGCCAGCCATTCATAAAGAAATATTTATATATTGCCTGGCTGATAATGTAAATATATGCCAACTTTTTGATTTATGGTTATAGATTAACTATTTACAAACACAGAAACAAATTATATAACATTAATGGTTTGAAACAAAATACTCCCGAAGAGAAACAAATCTGAGGGTGAGTGTAAACGGCCTCACGCTTAGAGCAGAGCTCAGCTTTCCACATGTGAGGCCAATTGATGGCCAACCGCTTTCCTAAAACTCTAAACCAAAACCATGCGTCCAGGCCTACTGCTCTTCCCCACACAGCAAGACTGAATTCAGGAGTTTACTTCACAGCCAAAACTGGAGCAAATCATTTTGCCCAGAATCTGATTTTGATGAAAACAATCAGCAGCTTCCTGTTGTCTCAGAGTCAGAGGGAACATCTCTGGTGTGTAAGACTGGGTGTTTAAAATGGGGGTTCTCAGGAAGGGGCCACTTCATCCCTTGTGACATTTGACAACTTCAAGAGATGCTTTTCATGGTCACAGTCCAGGTGTAAAGACAGTGTTGCCAGCGTCTCGTTGGAGTGGCTAGGAGGCTAGCAAAGCAGGTACAAAGCCTCCTGAAACGCAAGGCTCAGGTGACGGCCGTGTGGTGCTGCCCTCGAGAACTCTGAAACCAAGCAGCCTGCAGAACACAGGGAGAACGTCCTTGGGTGCTGACTACAGCCCCGGCACAGCACAGAGTACTTTATGGTTATTAAACACACTATGTGGGACCTTAAAGGCTACAGTGATGGAAAGAAGGGGCGTTTCCACATACATGATCACTGAACTTGAAAAAATTACTGCAGTCATTGTCAGGAAAAAAATAAGTTTCTTTTTCTGTTTTGTTTTGTTTTACAAATTATCTGGTCTGATTTGTCTAAGTTCTGTAAGCTGTCATATGGAGGGCACCCCCCAGTGCTCTGACAGGGCAGTGCTGAGGGGCAGGGACAGCCTTCTAAGCAGTAAAGCCGAGAGACCTTCACCATTTTTATTGAAATATCAGTTTCTACAGCTGCCCTTCTAATAGTACTGATGCCTCATACTTAATAGGCTAATGTGGCATAATAAGTGGTATTTCACAAGCAGGAAACAAAACAAAATACAATTATTTTCAAAACACAATCAGAGATCTCCATGGCCTCCAGGCAGCTTTCCTCCTAAAATGGCTGGGAGTTAACTGTCCCACGAAATCCTTAGCTAGCTCCCGGTTCCTCAAACACAGAAGCTGACAGCCACAAGGTCAAACATACCCTTAATCAGTGATTCGGCTGCATACAGATCTTGTTTGTAGGTCACCTGAGGGACAGAGAAACCTCATTAGACTCAACAGAGCAGGCAGGAATGTGAAAGTAATAAAACAAGCCCCCAAGGAAATTCTTCCTCCTGGAGAAACTGTACACACACAACACAGGCAATTTCCAAACGAAAGTAGCATTTGACATTCACATTAAATCAAATTCAATTTCAACAAATTATGAAGATCTGAGTCTTATATCTTTGAATAAATGAGGATAGCATATAGCAGTGGTTACTGAAATATGATTAGTATACCTAGGGTTTTATAATCAAAGAAAATGTGTAAGTGTTCAAACAAAAGTATTCAGACTACTGCTCTATAAGGTTTTATATTGGAAAATAAGGAGGGGGAAGTAGAGAGAGGAAGGGAGAGGAGAGGGGGAGGGCTGAAAGAGGAAGGGGTCTCCACACAACAAAAGTCACCAGCCCCATTCTAAACTGAAATGCTCAGAGACTAATTTACATTTCAAGGGACTTCTGAAATGTGAAGGTCTTTATGAATCAGGTTAGTCACGCCTGAAAACACAGCTCCTATCAAAAATAATCTACAGGGTACCACAGTATGCCTAGGATCCTTCCTTAATAGCAAACACCTTGCTCATGAGCATGGCACACTGTTCATCTTAGAGTATCCTGCATGGTGTGTAGGTCTGGTTTTGGCAGATCCTTCCCAGAGGCCATCCAGTGAGTCCAGACACAGAACACCTGCAGAACTGGTTTCCTTTATTGTGGAGCTAGAGCATGGGGCTGTAGCAGGAATCTTAAAAGTTCTTATTAATAAAATCAAACCCGAGGCCAGTTATTGGGGTGAATACTGAAAGGTCAGAGAGACAGAACTAGCCA